ATATTGTTTTTGATTGCGAGGCTGATGAAGCCGAAGGGCCGGTCAACTGTAGGCGGCGCTTCTGCTAGCGCGCGCTGTGCTCTACCGGGGCACTGGGGGAGAGGAGGAGGGAAGGAATCACACAACCAAGAAGAGTGGAGTAGGGCTGGGACACAGACGACATCCCTATACAACTCAGCATGACCAAGTGTCCGCGCGGAGGCCCCACAAGGGAATTACCACGCGGAGCTCATCTGCACGCCCGCGCGCGCACGAGCCACGAGAGGCGCGGCACAAGCGGCGAGACAGCAGAGCGCGAATGTAGTCACGCTGGGGCGCTTGCCCGCTACAATCCCTGGTGTCTGCGGCCAGCAGGGCCCGTGGCAAGCAGGCCATCCATCCGCATTGGCCCAGAGGCCCGGCGCGGCAGAAGGGACGATGGGCCCCGGGCAGGGAGGAGGTGCACGATCAGGGGGATGAGGATCAAGAGGTGTGCGCACATGCTGCTGCTCGTGCCTTCTCGTAGTACGGCACGCCGTGGCGATGCGTTGGTCGTCGCATTTTCGCCCCCCCCCCGGGGGCCGCAACAAAAATTCACTATCCCGGCAAGGCAACCTGCCAGCGATGTGTAGGAGCATATCTGGAAGCATTCCCCTTAAGATTCAGATGAGAATCCTGTTGTAGAATTCTGCTGTTCTCGCAGTCGTAGTCGCATTCGCGATGGCAGTCGCAGTGGCAACGGCAGTCGCAGTCACAGCCTCAGCCTGCTTCAGCCTCAGCCTCAGCCTGCCTCAGCCTCAGCCTCAGCCTGCTTCAGCCTCAACATCAGTCTGCCTCCAGCCTCGGCCTCAGCCTCAGCCTGCCTCAGCCTCACCCTGTATCAGCCTCAGCCTCAGCCTCAGCCTGCCTCAGCCTCAGCCTCAGCCTGCCTCAGCATCAGCCTGCCTCAGCCTCAGCCTCAGCCCGCTTCAGCCTCAGCCTCAGTCTGTCGTCGGCTTCGGCCTCAGCCTCAGCCTGCCTCAGCCTCAGCCTGCCTCAGCCTCAGCCTAAGCCTCAGCCTGCCTCAGCATCAGCCTGCCTCAGCCTCAGCCTCAGCCTCAGCCTGCCTCAGCCTCAGCCTCAGCCTGCTTTCAGCCTCAGCCTCAGTCTGCCTACAGCCTCGGCCTCAGCCTCAGCCTGCCTCAGCATCAGCCTGCATCAGCCTCAGCCTCAGCCTCAGCCTGCCTCAGCCTCAGCCTGCCTCAGCCTCAGCCTCAGCCTGCCTCAGCCTCAGCCTGCCTCAGCCTCAGCCTCAGCCCGCTTCAGCCTCAGCCTCAGTCTGCCGTCAGCCTCGGCCTCAGCCTCAGCCTGCCTCAGCCTCAGCCTGCATCAGCCTCAGCCTCAGCCTCAGCCTGCCTCAGCATCAGCCTGCCTCAGCCTCAGCCAGCCTCAGCAGCCTCAGCCTGCTTCAGCCTCAGCCTCAGTCTGCCTTCAGCCTCGGCCTCAGCCTCAGCCTGCCTCAGCCTCAGCCTGCATCAGCCTCAGCCTCAGCCTCAGCCTGCCTCAGCATCAGCCTGCCTCAGCCTCAGCCTCAGCCTGCCTCAGCCTCAGCCTGCCTCAGCCTCAGCCTCAGCCTGCTTCAGCCTCAGCCTCAGTCTGCCTTCAGCCTCGGCCTCAGCCTCAGGCTGCCTCAGCCTCAGCCTGCATCAGCCTCAGCCTCAGCCTCAGCCTGCCTCAGCATCAGCCTGCCTCAGCCTCAGCCTCAGCCTGCCTCAGCCTCAGCCTCAGCCTGCTTCAGCCTCAGTATCAGTCTGCCTTCAGCCTCGGCCTCAGCCTCCGCCTGCCTCAGCCTCAGCCTGCATGAGCCTCAGCCTCAGCCTCAGCCTGCCTCAGCATCAGCCTGCCTCAGCCTCAGCCTCAGCCTGCCTCAGCCTCAGCCTCAGCCTGCTTCAGCCTTCAGCCTCAGCCTCAGTCTGCCTTCAGCTTGCCTCAGCCTCAGCCTCAGACAACAAGCGCCGCGACCTACAGCCCTGCCCGGATGGAGCGGCGACGGACGGCGGCGACGGGTGGCGACGGCGACAACAGAGCCGCCAGACCGACAGCCAGGCCCAGTTTCCTGGAGTAGGTGCCCGGGATAAGGCGAAGCCTCTCTGGCTGAAGTTTGAAGGCGTTCGGCAGTGTACTGCCGCCCAGCCAGAACCATGGGCGAGCCGGAATTGAAACGCCGCCGCCATGTGGAGTCTGATGCATCTCTGGCGTTGGAGCAGCAGCTTGCTTCGGCTGTGCAGGCGGGTGCAAAGCCCGCGGACGATCCATTGCCTTCAGCGATTAAGCTCATCAGTGGTTCCGTGAAGGACATAATCGACGTGCAGAGGTGGGCGGACTTGTTCGACGCGTCGAAGGAGTGCGCAGAGCGGTCCAAGGCATTGGACGTGATCTTGGACATGCCAGCGGCGTACGAGGTCTTGGGGTCCAATCTCGCGGATATGAAGAAGCACGTGTATGACCTGACTGAGAAGCTTCTGACGGTGAATGGAAACGATAAATGTTTCTCCTTCGACGACGCCATTCAGCACCACTCGAGGTACAGCGTGCGGGCCATGTGTGGTGCCGTGGCGGCGACCAGGAACATCCACCTCGGGAGCTCGCTGTCGGTGGATCCTCTGTGTGCCCGGGCTCCGTACACAGCGGTGAGCATGTTCCTCATCCCTAGCCCGTGCAAGGTCGGCGAGAAGACTGTGTACGAGCGGCCCATGCCCATCGGCGGCTCCAACACCAGGAAGTCCAAGTTGCACGATCGCGCGCAGACGCTCCTGACCAGCAGCTTAAAGAACAAGCTGTGCGAGAAGGGCATGCAGTACAAGTGGGTGCCGCGGTCCGGAGGCTTGCAGCCCCACGGGCCCCGAGGCAAAGCAGCAGCGGCAAAAGGAGGCAAAGGCGCCAAAAAAGGGGGCAAAGGCGGCAGGCAGGCTGCTCAGCCTGAGCCGGCTGATGACGATGACGACGAGCCCGTGGAGGTTGCCCCGTCCAAGGCCATCGCCCCAGATACCACGTTCGCGTGGTTGTTCCTGAACGCGCGCGTCACCTTCGAGGGCCTCATTGACCATGCGAACGAGCAGGCGGTATCGTTGGAGCACGGCCTAGGCCCTCGCGTTTTCTACGCGTCCGAGGAAGGATCGCTGACAATGGCCTTCCCAGGTCAGCCCGCCAAGGCAGGCACATTGAGCTTCGAAGAATTTATTCTGTTCTCCGGCGGCACCGCGACGAAGATCGCGGCCGGTTGCAAAAGGTCGATGGCGGGCGCCAACATCGGCGGGCTCGTGATGATCCAGCCGAGTCAGATCCCAACCGTATTTGGGCAGCTGTCCGGGCGGAATCCCACGAAAAGATGGCGCATCTGCCTGAACAACGACTCGCTCACCACGAACACCGACAACATCCAGTCCCGCTTCGGCGCCGACTGCAAGGTCTGGTAGCATAGGCAGAAAAAGGAAGACGAGGGGGAGGAGGGGGGGCGAGGGGGATGGGTAGGGAGGAGAGGGAGGAGGAGGAGGAGGAGGAGGAGGAGGAGGAAAAGGAGGAGGAAAACGAGGAGGAGGAGGAGGAGGTGGAGGAGGAGGAGGAGGAGGAGGAGGGGGAGGAGGACGCATGATTCTACTGACAAAAAACCCAATCAGGTCTATAGGGCCTCTTACATTGATCGGACCATAAGGTCAATTAGGTCTATTAGGTCTACTAGGTCTACTCGGTCTATTCAGTTGATTCGGTCTATTAGGTCTATGAAGCTATGGGGCTGTGGGGCTATAGGGCCATGGGACTGTGGAGTTATGGGGCTATGGGGCTGCGAGACCATAGGGCTATAAGGTTACTCGGCTATTGGGCGAGTGGGCTATGGGGCTATAGGGTTCTGGGGCAATGGGGCTATGGGGCTATGGGGCTATAGGGCTATAGGGCTGTAGGGCTATAGGGCTATAGGCTATAGCGCTATAGGGCTACAGGGCTGCAGGACTGTAGGGCTATAGGGCTATGGGGCTATGAGGCCATAGGGTTATAGGGCTATAGGGTTCTGGGGCTATTGGGATATTGGGTTGTTGGGCTATTGGGCTATGGGGCTACAGGGCTGTGGGCCTATAGGGCTATAGGGCTGTAGGGCAATAGGGCATAATAGTGCCACAAGGCTATAAGGCTGTGGGGCTAAAAGGTTATCGGGCTATAGGGATATAGTACTATAGGGCTATCGTGCTATTGGGCTATACGGCTATGGGGCTATAGAGCTAGTGGGCTAAAGGGCTATAGGACTCTGGGTCTGTAGGGCGCCCCGGCACCCGGGCGGGCCACCACAATCGGCGACCCGCAAGGCGCCCGGGCACCTGGGCACCCGGGCGGGCCACCGGAATCGGCGACCCGCAGGGCGCCCGGGCACTTGGGCACCCGGGCGGGACACGGAAAGCGGTGGCCCACCTCACTTAACCAGATGAACCCGGTAGGGCCGCATACAGGGGCAAGCCCTGATTCGGGAAAAAGGAGGGACAGGCACAGGGAAGGAGGAGGAGGGAGGAAAAGGACGGGGAGGAAGGAGGACGCAGCGTTCCGTTCGCCCCGCTACGCGTCAGCTTTGCTTGGCCTCAGAGGCAGAAGGGCTAGGACATCAACTCGACAACTTTTTCAGGAACGTCTCCTTGTCCGACGGCACCATTCGCGTGGCGGAGGGGCAGAGGCTTCCACCCAGCGATTTCGATTTGGACGATTTCGGCCGGCAGCTCATGCTCAGCTTCTGGGGGGAAATCTGCAAGGCCTGCAACGCGTGCGCCGGGCGCCGTGACCCGCGGATGCATGATCATTTCACGGACTCGCTCGGCATCTTCCAGTGCCGCGTGTTCAAATTGTTCGTGGAAACGGTGAATGACATGAACGTGCTGCTGCCAGAGGGTCTGCCGAAACTCCAGTACGGGGGCAAAATCCCGTGGCAATTCGTCATCAAGGCCGTCATTGATTGGGCCCGCGAAGCTGTTGATGTAGCCGCAGTCTATTGCTTAGCTCTGCTCGGATGCGTCATGGTTGCGATCTACTGTGTTTTGGCGCGCGCGTGCTTGCGCGCGCTTCTGCGCGGGCGCTTCGGCCGAAGATGCCGCGCCGCCCCAGTGGGTCTTCATCGGGCCGCGTGCGCTAGAATGACGCGCGTGCGTGCGTGAGTGCATGCGCGCGTGAATGTGCGTGCGCGAGCGCGCGCGCGCGCGTGCGTGAGTTTGCGCGCGCGCCCGTGCGGAGCCGTCTTCGCGGCGGAGGATGGGACAGTGCGCGCGCGAGCTCGTTTACAGGAGTACCGCTGCAGATCGGTATTGTTTTTTTCTTTTCCCACCCCGCTGTTTTGGATTTTCTGAGGTGTCTTGTGACGCTGGCCGCCGACGTGCCCCAGCGCAGTCCTACAACGAGGTTCCGCCTTTGATCGACGCGCCCGTGCCTGCGGAGGGGCCCGTGGACGACCGTGCCTTTTTTCATGTACGCTGAGGAAGTGGCGTGCATGGTGGTCATGGGCAAAGTCGACAGTCGGGGTGACATTCCGATCGGCAAGGCCATCGACGCAGTCAAGAACTACGGGCGGTCAGGCTTGGGGAAAGAGCTATTCAAACAACACAAGTGGGCGAATCGCCCTGGAATGATGCGAGTCGCGGAGCTCCTCCGTTCCGTGGGTCTTGTGGCCGGCTTCCAGGAGCTCGACGACACGGCGTTCACGCCAATCAATGGGAGCGAGCCCCCTTTTCCACCTTGGATGCACTCCATCAGGATCAAAACCATGGCGGGCGATGACGCGCCAATATCGATGCAGATCTTCATGGACAGGCAGAGCAAGTTGAAGAATGAGATGGGGACGGCCGTGCCTCGGTCCGCCGAATCCTTCCGTACTTAGACACGGTTGCCAAGGACTGGCCGGCTTGCTTGGGCGAGGTGTCGCAGCTTTTCACGCTGTTGCGAGACAGTCCAGCCTGTCTCGCCACAGAAGGGCGAGCGAAAGAGATTTACAACGTCGATGCCGAGATGAGAAACCCTCCCGCTTGGGCGGCGGACGCGTGCCGCTGGCTGCTGGACCACTGGGCGGCCACGCGCGGGACGGCCGCAGTGGAGGCAGTTCTGAAGGAGGGCGTCAAGAACTTCCAGGCATTTGCGTTCGAGGCGTTCGTGTCTAAGACCGAAGCCGTTGAGGAGGACGCTGACGTCGCCGAGGCTGCCGGCGGCCAGCCAGAGGCGTGAGTTGTTGTCCATTGCCACCGCGGGAGGGCGCTGCAAGCGCCCGCAGCCTAGTCGTGTCATCATTCAGCGCGCGGGGGACGCGAGGCTAGTTTTGCGTTGCGGGCATTCATTTTCCGCATAAGGGTGCGTGGTAATTCACGGCCCAGCTCTTTGAACATGGAGTGTCCAGGTGGACATGTATACCATTTTGCCCAGGAAGAACACGTTTGGCGATTCTAGCGACCGGCGGCGCAATCTTGCAAAAAGGGAGGGAGGGTTGAGAGCATGACCAGGATGAGTAGAAGGAAGAGAGTGGGGGGGGAGGACGGGCAGGAGGAGGAGGAGGAGAAGGAACGACCCGGGACAACAGGGGGGGCGAACAAAGGAAAGGAGTCCAGGCAAAGAGTGCGGCAGCGGCAGGAGAACGAAACAAATCCGTTTCTTCTTTCCGCCCCGAGCCTCGGCCGCGTTCGCCGGAATGATGGCGTCCGGGACGAAATGGAGGGAGGGAGTAGGAGGGGGAGGAGGAGGAGGGCGACGAGGAGGAGGAGGTGGAGGAGGAGGAGGAGGACGAGGAAGGAGAAACCGGTCATCAGCAGCGAGCTGCCGGGAGCGACCAACGTCGCATTTCCGAGACTGCCGGCGCAAAGGAGGAGGATGAGGAGGAGGAGGAGGAAGAGGAGGAGCACTGGGCATTGCAGTCTGGCCCACGCTTGTGGGACAGACAGGGCCGCAGACTGAACCAATTCTTGACGCATGCAGTGGAACAGCCCTTGAAAGCACGCCGGGGGCGCGGTAACGACGGGAACGCGCGAAACAGCTGGGGCGCAGCAGAGGCAGAAACACTTCCAAGCATGAAGGCTCTACTTGCCCCTAACCCACCCTCGACCCTGCAAACAATTTAGAGGCAAAACAGTGTCGCGCATGAAGCCTGTGCTCGTACTTCCTCCTCCCCCCCGCAAGCAATTAGCTTCACAGGCAAAGGTTTTATTTAATCGCTTCGCTCATGCCGCCGGCCCTGGAGCCCTCTTTAGGGCCTCTTGGGGGCCTCTTGGGGACCTCTTGGGAGTCTCTTGGGGCTCCTTGGCGGCGTTTTGGAGGCCCCCAGGGCCTCTTGGGGGGCTCTTGGGGGTAGTCGATTGCGGCTCCCCCCTCGGAGGCCACGATCCTCGTGAGGGGTGTCGAAAAATACCCTCCCCTGGAGTGGTCTGGTGGCTTCTCCCGGGCTTCTCTCGGGACCTTGCCGGGGTACTTTTCGTCCGGGGGCCCCCAGGGGCCGCTCCGCGCGCGCGAACTAGAAATATTGTTAACAAGTTACCGGAGATCTTAGCACGCCTCTGGCCCGTTGGGCCGGCGAATTCATGAAAACTTCACACATCTTCCGACCTTTCACGATGATGATGGCGACGACGATGATGATGACGACGACGACGATGATCATGATGATGATGATGATGATGATGCTGTTGGTGGTGAGGATGATGATTATGACGATCGTGATGATGATGGCGATGGTGATGTTGATGACGATGACGATGGTGATGATGATGATGATGATGATGATGATGATGATGATGATGATGATGATGATGGTGATGGTGATGGTGATGGTGATGATGATGATGATGATGATGATGATGATGATGATGATGATGACGATGATGATGATGATGATGATGATGATGATGATGATGATGATGATGATGATGATGGTGGTGGTGGTGGTGGTGGTGGTGACGATGATGATGATCTCGTAGGGCCGTCTTGGAACCCGCTTGGGTTCTCCGTGCGGCCTCTTGGACCACTCTTAGGGCTCTCTTGGGACTCGTTTGTGGGGTCTTGGGCCCCTCTTGGGGCTCTTTGGCAGTGTCTGGGACGCCTCCTGAGGCAATCTTATGCCCCGTGGTTCAAACATAGGGGGAGTACTAAAGTCCTGTCCCCCCTCGAGGGCTCAAACATGGCGTCTTGGGGCCCTCTGGGGCCGCTGAGCGCTCTGGGGCGCTCTTGGGGGTTTGTCTCTGGAGCCTTCTGAGGCCCCTCATGGGGCTCTGTTGGGCCGCCTTGGGGTCATCTTGAAACCTCGAGAGCCCATCGAAAGCGAAACAGCGAGAATGCTGAACAACATCGATGCTCCTTAAGTTTGGGAGCCATGTTGGCCTCTGGGGGGGGGTCCCCTGGCACTTGAAACCGCATTGGGGCAGTATTAAACACTTCTCGGCTGCATGTCCTCCCAACGCCCTCTAGATCCTCCCAGAGGCTTCCAAGAGGCCCCAAGATGCTTCTAAGAGGCCCTTTGTGAGGTCCGCCAAGGGGCCCAAGAGGCTTCCAAGAGACTTCGAAAAAGGTCGACAAGAGGCATCCCAATAGATCCCAAGATGCATCCAACACGCCTCCGACCCACAACCCAGGCACGGAGGCAACATGGGCCGACAGAGAGAGAGAGAGAGAGAAAGAAAGAAAGACAGAGAGAGAGAGAGAGAGAGAAGGAGGAGTAAGGGATGAGGAGTGAGGAGTGATGGAGAGTCAGGGGCAGAAGGAGTGAGGAATTAGGAGCACAAGTGGGCAGCGTGGTTGCCCAAATCGGGCGTCACGCGCACCACGTGCTGGGGACCGTGGCGTCAGCCAGAAGGGGAGCAGCAATTGTGAAGAGCTCGGAGGCGGTATGATACGAAAATGCCCCAGTTCGTAACCACTGGCGGTGTCCAGTGCAAGGCACTCGGAGCGCGAAGGACTGCGGACGCTCGCAATCATAGGTTCAACTACGTAGTGTGAGTTTCCACCGTACGCGGAACGGACATGGAGGAGGCGGGGTGGCGAGCCCGAGGACAAAGTCGAGTCGGCAACCTGCGGCCCCCAATGGATCACACGCACGGCGCGTGCAGACAGTGTTTCCCATACCACTGATTAAGGGAGGGGGAGGAGAGAGGAGCAGCGGGAGGAAGGAACCCAGGGGGAAGGGCAGCTCGAATCGGCTGCTCCGTGCACCGTGTCCCAGACTCCATCAGCCACGCGGCTGCGGCGTGTGTGCCGTCATTCGGGTTCTAGGACTCAGCGCGCACGTGTGTGGCGGCATCCAGTGAACACAGGCACAGTTTCGACTCCGGCCGAGTCCAGGGCAGACCCCCTCCTCGAGTCCATCGGCCACGTGGCCGTGACAGGGACCAACCCAGACGGTGCTTGGTCACACTGTTCCGGGGTCCACACAAACAAGACATTTACAATCTGAAAGTCTACTCAGCGATTCGACCACAAGCATCTTGCACAGATTCGTGACGTAACGAACTTGTCACGAATTGCGGCTTTTAAAATGCGTACTGAAATCACAATAAACCCACGGAGCTGTGATGTGTCATCCTCGTCGCACGGGGCAGGCGTTGCAACGATCGGGAACCTTGCACAAACTGCAGCGCCCTGTGGCGATCTAAACGGTCGCCGCAGAACGGGCCAGAAGGCACGAAAGTGGGCATTGCGATTGCCAAAAAACGCTTGTCCGAGAAGAGTGAACACGATGCTCCGGCCAATGTTGAAGAAGGTGGTGCGATTTATTCGCTCCGACCGGCACTAGCCACCGAAATTGCGCTATAGCCCCGGGCTCGGGTAGGAGGGGGACAAGAGGAGGAGGCAGAGGGAGGAAAAGAGAGGAAGAGGGAGTAAGCCGCCGCTCCAGCCGAGTTTTCTGACTTTTCTGCAGTTCTCCGAATTGCCCCCCGCTCCTCAGCATTCCTCCCCGTTGCAATTGCGGCTCAAGGCGCCCAGCCGTCAGCGTCCAGCATGGACGGCCACGCAGTGTTGGCGCTCTTGCGTGGAAGTGCGGTTTCCTCGTCGGGCCCGGCGCCGAAAGCTGCAGTGGCATGTTCCGGGGGCGATGCGCTGGATGACTCTCCAGCGCAAGGCGGTCTTGGTGCTTGCGGCGGCTCTGGCGATGCTGCCCCCACTGTTGGTAGCGGCAGTCGGCCTCGCACTGCTGCCTCTTCTTCGGCGGGAGCTCCGAAGCGAGCCTATCGGCCGAATCGTCCTTCGCGCAAAGGTCTGAAGCACAAAGCTCACAAACCGCACAAGCCTCACAAACCCCACACAGGCAAGAAAGATGGCACAGCTCGTCTGCGCAAGCGCGCTGCCGCGTTGAAGCGGCGCGTCGGCCTTCGTGCGGACAGGTTTGAAGACGGCGGTGGTTTGCCGAAGCGTGTTCGGAAAGCTGTACGGCGCGATGCAGTTCTCAATCTGGTCCGCCCTGGCGCTGACAGCGCATCTTTGAAACCGAGCTGTGCAGAGGAAGTGCCCGACGCTACGTGGCAGGCGGGCGTCGGTAGGTTGCTCTGCGGCGCTCGCGCCGACCGGTTCGAGTTGTTACGACGCCTCACTGTGGCCAACATGTCCTTCGTCGCGTCGATGCCTGGTGCCGCCGCCGGGTCCGTCCCAGAAGCGGCAGGGAATTGGTGGCGGTGCTCAGTGGCGCGCGGCTGGCAGCTGAAGTTGACAGGGGGTGAACTTGTGATTGCTGGCGGCCGCGCTAAGTGGCGGGGCGGCGGCTATGGCGGCGGCGGTCGCCACGTTGTCGCTGCGACCAGTCTGATTCCGCAGGGCGCCGGCTTCGTCCTTGGCGAGGAGATCACCGTGTCGCAGGACATGGTGCGAGAGGCCGGCGTCTTCGTGGATTGGCACGCCGCAGATTCTGCATTCGTGGCCCGGGACCCGCCGGTCATGTACTCAATGGAAACAGCGCCCGCTCCAGTGATCTCCGAGCAGGCGCTGCCGCCGCTACCCCAAGACCATGACAGCGCCGTCGGCGCTGATAGGTTGGACGTTCTGGTGGTGCTGCCCCAAGCCGCGTTGGCTGCTTGCGCGGCTGAGGGCCACTCGCCGACGAAATGCGGGCAGAGCGATGTCATGTGGGTGCTGGATGAGCCCGTCCCCCGAGCCATCCGGAAGGCATTCTATCATTGCGTGGCTTGCAGGGACGCCCCGCGCGGGCCAGACGGGGAGCGCCTGCGCCGATTCCGGAAAGTCCCAACCTTGGCAGACGTCAACCAGTATTTCCCGAAGATGGAAGGCATGGACGCCGTCTTCCTTGCGGGGCAGACTTACTACACCATCTGGTTTTTGATCGTCCTCGCCTCGCACTTCGTTCTCCGGCCACAAATCACCGAGTTGAAGACTTGGTTGGCCGAGCGATGGGGCCTTGCGACTGTGGGAGTGGCTTTCAGCGGTTGCGCTGTGGGCCGCGCTGAGCGCCCCGACCGGGTGGAGGAGATCGGCGCCGCTGAAGTACCGTGGATTCTGGACGCCCTACGTGGCCACGATGTGCTCGTCGGCTTGGTCGAGCGTTTCGTGAACTGCTTCCTGGACGGCCTCTGCGAGAAGATTGAAAGTGAAGCGTGGTTGGCAGATGGCGCCATATTCGGCGCAGATGTCTGTGTGAAACTTGCGAAAGTAGTTGTCAATTCAGTCCGGGTTCCATCGCGGAAAGGGGGCAAAACCCGCGCGGTTCGGCTCTACACTGGCGTGTTGCTCCATGTTGGGGCCCGGGGCATGCTTCTGTCGGTGCCCGAGTTGATCCGGCAGGAGACCAACCGGGCTTACAAGCTGAGCCTGAAGCCGAAGTTGGCGCGGCTGCGTCGGCAGGCATCCGCGCTTGGAATGCCCAGCTGCGGGCTCCCAGTGGGAGCTTTTGTAGACACCCTGGGTTTCGAAGCTGGTCTCAAGGAAGCAGTTGCCGAAGAATTTCACGGCGTCGTCGACTGCGGAGACCCTCGTCGATTGCTCTCAGACGGGTTCCAAGTCGGCAAGGACGGCAACCACTTGAATTGGCATTTCGAGAAATACGCGCCCAAGCACAGCTGCGATTTTCATTTGGGGTCAGATTGCCACCGCGACATGATCGCGCGGCACAACAACCCAGATCGGCCAGGGAGCGCTCGCCGTGAGTATCCGGGCGGCCCCTGGCAGGCCGTGGGCGCTCTGGCCGTGCACCTGCGCGCTCTGCTGGACCGCTGGGCGGGCGCCGCTCGGAAGTATCTCCGGGAGGCTGTGGCGGGCCAGCCTTCCGAGAAGTTGTTGCGCGAGTTCGCGCAGCGGGCCGACGTCGTCATCCACCCCGTGTGGGAGCGCGTCTTTCCCGAGGCCGCTGCCAATCGAACAGTCAAGCGGAAGGGCGCGGTGAAAGTGCCCCGCGTATTCGTGGAGCGCTTGGCGCACTTGCTGGACGTCGCGCTCCACGAGGCCACGCCTGCCTGGGGCTACGCGTGCGAGCAGGAGTGGACCGAGGAGGTTGATTGCTTCCGCGCTTACTTTTCCACGGCTGTCTACACGGTGGG